GTGATGCGTGATTAGCTGATTTTATTTTCTGTGAAATCTGAATTTAGGAAATTATTCTTCGTGACTCGTAACCTGAAGATTTTGTGTGACCTGTGGAGAACCAGAATTATTAACAGATATTCGTGATTTTAACGTTCTATTCTATGTGATTTTAAGGTGCAAGTCCTCTGAATGGTTAGAGTCATCTATCGAGAGTGGTTTAGGTGTGCGATTTGCGATATGGAGCCTTGACTTTGCCATTCGCTATTTTGCTTTCTTCAAACACTGTTTCTAGTGTAAGTACAGGTCATTAAACGGAGTATCTTACTTGCTTATTTTTGTGATTCTGGAAAACGAAATTTTTATATCCGTGATCTGTGATCCTCTATTTTTTCCATTTGTGAACTGTGCCAGAGACCCCCCCTGTACAACCCTCATGTCACACATGTTATTGTCAATACATATTATTATAAAAGTTCAGTCCATCACACAATTTTTGCTGGGTCCCAAATATGTTTTGTTAAATACTTCATCATACCAAATGTCTGTATCCTCTTTCGACCTGAAAAACAAAACAAAACATACCCAATTGATAATTACTGACAAAGTCACCTTAAGGTTAGTTGTCCAAGATTTTCATTCAAAACCAGCCAGTTGTCACAGGAGATTCATATCTAGTCCAAGAGCTAGTTGATATGCTTTTTAGAAGTTCTCAAAGTTCTATAAGGTAAATATTGAATAGTATACCCATTTTCAAGCTCTTGGATCAGCCTGAAGGGAATTCCTGTCACTCCTCCACCCACCACGAGTCTACAAACTTTCTACGATTAAGTTTACCCTATTTGCAAACAACCAACCATGAAGGGACATCTCCCAAAGACTGGCACTTGACTGTGGTTTCTGTGGTGTAAAGTGACCATGACAAGGGATGTCACTCCCCNGGGGGGAACTCCCATATGAAAAGGTTGGGGAAGCTGGTGGGAAAATATGAGAATTTAACGCCTAAAGGGGACCAATCTGCTCTTGGCATGAGTTTTACTATAAATTAATAAATAAATTACAGTTTTCCTAAAAACATAACACAAGGACTTTGATTGGGCTTGGACATGAGACGGATTTAGCAAGCTGACATTGTGTCCTCACCAAAGATCTTTTGAAGTTGTTCATCACATATCATAAATCGTTTATTTTT